AAAAAACAAATTGTCCATTAACTCCTGTTGTTGATTTACCTGGATCAACATTTGTTGTGAAAATATTGATTGATAATGGCTCTTCTATCTTTTTCTGAATTTTGTGATCTGCTGTAATTTGAGAAACAAGTTCACCCAGATCAACAACAACAGATTTTATCTGTAGAAAAAATAATAAAATAAAGCAAACATCTTTTAGAAGAATTTTACTTTAGCAAATTTATGAGCCCATTGCTCATTATTCTTCTTATCCATACAATAAACATAAATTGATATAACTTGTCGTAGTTGATGAATGTAGGGTACTATTTTTCGCCCTAATCGACCACTAACAATAATTACTAATCGATCTTTTTGTGATGTTTGTTCGATATATTGTTGACATTGTTTTACATCTTGAAACTTCTTAATATGATTAATAATAGAACGTAGTTTTACTTCTGTATCTCGAGTGTCTTTAACATTTACATTTGCATCTAGCCAAATAAGAGAGAATATCTCAAGATACTTATCATTGGTGTTTGTATGAAAATCATCATCTGGTAGAACAGCAGTGGGCATGTTAATTCAAGAAACTAAAAATAGTATAAAGTTGTCAAGTTATATGTGTTTAATCTATGTATAATTATCGAATAAATTGTGTGTTTTTTACAGTCTAAAAAAAGAATGTGATATTTTTATGTCAGTTTTTTCAAACTTTGATGTAAGTAAATAGAATAAAAGAATAATATGTTATAATTGATTAAAGAAATGTGCCTGGATCTGGTTGTGGATATTGTATTAGTTATACACCCATACTTACCCACAGCCTCAAGATGTGCATTAATCCTGAAATTGACTATGGCTTTACTTGTTTATCTACAGGATGTTTGGCTCGTAATTTTCTCCATTATTGTACGGGCGAAAGTTTGTGTTTTTCGTGCCGATTGGATATTTGCAAGAGTCCTCTACGATATGCTCCTCTCAATCTAATTTTCCCTTGACTATAGTCAGGGTTTTATTTCTTCGAACGACTTTATGCTTGCATGTTTGTCTGCAGAACTTGTACAGCCAAGAGATTCAGTGAATCGCGTCAGTCCTAGCTATTTGTTCTCATCAATATTAGTTTATTTACTACCTTATCCACGTAAATACATGAAGAATATTTCTGAGTGTAACTAATTAGAATATTTCTGTACACCACATAAATAATAATACTATCTAATATAAACATGAAATTATGATTGAATAACATTAACCTACCTTATGAGACGAAGCGAGGATCTATAAGGTATTTGAAAAGAGTTGGTTAAGAAGATGAAAAATAAGCAGATTAAGTGAAAAGAACTGTTTTATATACACGATGCTTTTCTCTATTCTTTGTATTCGTTTATATTTACACAAAATAATTCTTGTTTGTCTCTTTTTCTAGTTCTTATCAGCTCATAAAAGAGTTTATTACAATCAAATAAAAACGACCATGTAATAAACTAGAAGCTGTTAAAAAATGAATCGATTCTGATGAAAATAGTAAGGTGAAGAAAGAAGCACAAATCATCGGGAAAGATATTGAATGAGCCATAAAAATATGACACATGCAAAATGAATCATTTATTAATGTCTTAAAGTAACTATATAGAGGAATAAACAGGTTCGAAAAGAAAGAAATAACGAATTGAATAAAACATTTTGTTAATAACTTATCGTCTCTGATTTCAAGAAGAAACCCAACATTTACTATGGAATTCAAATTTGATTTTCAATACCTCCTTTAAAATTGTTTCAGTAGAATCATTGTCAATAGTAATTGGTTTCTAAAAGATTACATTTCATACAGTTCCCATGAATTTGTTCTCAATTTTACTTTGTATATTATAATTGTCACATGATAAATAGAAATAATTATAACAACAAAAACTAAATATTTATTTATATTCATTAAAAGAGTAAAAAAGAAAAGATAATCATTATCTGATCAAAAGTAAAATAAAGAATAATTTATGCATATGAATATTAGTCAATGGAGTTATATTCATTCTCATTCTATTGATTTCTGAATTGTTTATTTCTGTTTTTAAACTAATTCATAGAAAACCATTTTTATTTAAATCAAACGATTCTAATATAATATTAACAGATAATAAAAATCAATTACATCACACAATCTCTATTGAAAAATTTTTAAGAAAAATTTTTAATAATAATGGGTGGGTGTGGATATTGTATTATATATACATCCACGTCGACACCCATACCCACACCATATCGATAGGATTTGCTATCCACTACAGGAACCATTAAACGGCGGATGATGATCCAAAAACTACTTAAAAGTGAGACATATCATTGTTTTTGATAAATTTAACAACAAATGTAGGTTCGAGGACTACTTTGGCTTGTTGTCTCAAGTTTTAACAATGACTTTACTCCACTATTACGATGATATATCTCAGTCTGGTAATCACTAACAGTATCACTTAAAATTTGTTCACCGCTTAAAAACATTTTCAAATTTTTGTGAGAACTTAGACAAAATATCAAAATTCAAGCAATAACGGCGGAGTTAAATTCAGTACCTATCGTTTACTTCGAAAAGATATCTGAAGAGTAAGTCAAAAGGATGAAACTTCCCATGGAATATCATAACAACTACCTCGAATATATAGTGTAGAAAGATGGGTGGAATATTATTTTCCTAAATAGATATAGTGCAGTTCCGGGAACTTTTTGATCACCCTATGTAATTATATTTTTCTTAGTTTTGTTTTTGTATAGGAAAACTTTAACAATAATTTCTAGATAAATGATATTTTAAAAGAAGAAAAAGCAATTTTAGAAGTAGACTTGTCGTTTTTTCTTTCCAATGAAGTCTTTGATAAAGTTAATTGTTTGATATTTAACAAAGTACTCGTTTTACATGAACCTTTTCTTTAAATTAAAAAATATTTAAAAAAGCATTTTCTTTAATTAATTTTAACATTTTATTTGATACCTTATAAGAAATACTAAAAAATATACTTTATTTTCTCACAAATATAACAAGTAAGATGATAAACTTTATTTTAACTCTTTCTTGTATATTTTTATAAATTAAGATAGATAATGTTATTTCAATTAATTCTTATCTTATTTCAAATTCATATATCTATTTCAACAATATCTCTTATAAAATATGACAATACTCAATTTATTTCAAGTCAAAATTCATATTTGCTGAATAATTTCCATGTTCAATCTCAGAATGAATGTATTTGTCTTTGTTATACTAACCAAAGTTGTATAACATTGACTTATTTTGGAATAAATCAAACTTGTTTATTATATTCATCACAACTTCAAATAGAATATTTACAATTGACTTCATATACAATAAATTCTGCTGTTATTTCTTTTCCAAATCGAATTTCAAGTAACTATTGTATGTTTTTCAAAATAGCTTTTCTTTATTTTCTAAAAAATCTTTAGCAACAACACAAACAACTTCAACTTCAAGTTCAACAACCTCAAGTTTGGCGACCTCAAGTTCATCAACTTCAACTTCGAGTTCATCAACTTCAACTTCAAGTACATCAACTTCAACTTCAAGTACATCAACTACTACAAGTAAAGTATTGATTTCAGATTTGAGTTTCTCGACTTCGTTTACCCTTCGATCAAGTTTTCCTGAAAAAATCTTTTTCAAGTCAATTTAATAAAGTGCAGATGCAACAGCATTCGATGTTTTTCTTTCAGTGTGTCAGAAACAATTTGATGCATTTCAAGGAAATGCACAAAAAAATCTCTAGGCAACTGAAAAAAAATATCAAGAAATGCTTCTCCGGATGACATCTCTATAGTGACTAACAAAGAAAGTATTCTTGCAAGACTTTTCTTGACGAGAAAGAGAAAAAAAAACAAAGAAATTTTTATTAAAATTTTAGCAACAACAAATGCCTATTGTGGATATTCATGTATTAATACAACAGTATCAAGATTATCTTCTGTTGCATTTTATTCATTCGATAATAATACATTTGATAGTATTGGTAATTATTCAATGAATGCAACATTTTCATCAAGTTATGTACCTGGATGGATTGGTTCAGCTATTAATTTCACATATAATAATTCACAATTTCTTTCAAGTCGAACACATATTCCATTAGATTCACGTTCATTTACAATTGATTTTTGGTTTTATGTAACTGATCTAACAAGTTTTAAAGATCTTGGTTTTGGTGGTGAATGTCAGTTGTCAACAAATGATCAATGTTTATTTCTTAATATTCGTACTAAACTTCTTCGTATAGTATTTTTTGCTGATGATACAATTGGCACAACAAGTTTAGTCATAAATCAATGGTATCATGGAACATTTGTTTATGATTCAACAATAAAACAACAATTGATTTATTTAAATGGTTTATTAGATAAAAGTGCAACAGTTACACATGATTTTTTAGGAACAACAGGATTATTTACAATTGGCGGTGGATATATTGGTGGAGATTCAGCCCCAATTGTTTATTATTCAGGTTATATTGATCAATTTGGAATAAGTTATCGAGTTAAAACACCATGTGAAATCTATTTAAATGCAATACTTTTTTGTTATTTTCGATTTGATTCAATATTACTTGTAATTGATTCTGGACCAAATTTAATTACTGCAACTAATTATAATGGAATGCAAACAACTGGACGAGTAAATCAAGGTATACAATTTTCATCTTCATTATCTTATATAGCTATTAATGGAATTAATATTTTAAATTCATTAAATAATCCATTTACAATATCAATGTGGATTAATCCATTGAATACGACCAGTGGTGGAACACTTATTCACACATCAACACTATCTAATGGTTGAGATTTTATTATTTTTTGAAAACGTTTTTATTTGTTTTTTTTTATTTTTTAGGTTTAGGCACTTGTTTTGCATTGTGGGGTTTTTCATCAAATGGTTCATTTATTGCGAATTTTATTAATTCCTCAAATAGTATAACTCCAATAATAATCTCAACACCATTTCCATTAAATCAATGGATACATATTGCTCAAATATTCAATTTAACAAGTGGAACTTCTTCTTTATATATCAATGGAAATCTTGTATCAAATATATTAGTATCAACACGTCAAGCAATTGGATCATATGTTTTTGTTGGATCATCACCAACAAATACAAGTTCTTGTAAATCAAGAATAATTTCGAAGGGACAATTTTTTGGTATAATTGATGAATTTTATGTTTTTTCACGAGCATTAACATCAACTGATATTTGTCGTTTAGCAAATCCTTAAAACTATTTTCATATAAATCTTATAATTTTCTTTTATTCTTCTTCGAAAATAAATTTAAAAATATATTTTATTTGTTTTTAATTATATAAATAAATAGTGTGTGAATGTGGGTGGGTGAGGAGTCAGTGTCGATGTCAATATATGATTAATATAACATCCATACCCATTTTATTCAATTACAGACTATAAATTCAAAATTATAATAACAAATATTTCATTATCATTATTATTATTATCAACACAATAGATCAAATCAAATAAACTAACAAATTCATGTATTTTGAAAATAATTTTGTTTACACAAAATATTAATTCGATTTATATCATTTCATCATATTGAGGGTGTGGGCGTAGGTGTAGGGTGGGGTGGGTGTAAGTGAGGTGTGGCTAGGATGTGGGTGTGGGTGTGGGTGTGGGTGGGTGTGGTTGTCAGAGTAACGTTAATGTGATACCTCACACCCACATCCACCCACCGTCGCACACACATCCGCATTCACACCCTACTCAAATTTAATGTGTCGTGTGTTTAAGAAAGCATGCTCAATTTCTAAGAAATTTAGTCAATCGATCAGTTAGTCTATATCTGAAGCTCGAAAAGGATGTTTTCATATACAGTACATGATAAAGCATCTCAGAACATAAAAGAATAGAAAAACCGTCGATGTACCAAATTTATTAAAAGTTACATATACTCTGCAATACATAATTTGCTAGATTTGTATTCGTCTGTCTCATTGCTCTCGGCTATTGTATCGAAAAGAGGATCAACATTTTTTTGTATGTTCATTGTTAGGTAGAGTTGGTCGAACTCCATTTAATCTCAGAGTTTTTTGCTAAAACGTAAAATCAAAAATGTTGACTCGAGATTAGTAAGACGAACATAATTCTATAATAATTACATGTATTTCAAATGATAGCTCGTCTCTTTCTCTATAAAATAGCATAATATGGTCAACACTTTCATATGATTTTGATATAAATATTCTTGATTTATTAAAGACGGGTCGATACTTGAGAATCACCCTTTACTTTTCTTATCTTTAAAACGAATCTTCTCGTTAATGATCCTGATTCTCATATGCTATTGAAGTTTAATTTCGAAGTCAAATGAATGAAGTTTAACAACAAATATATTTCATAAGATCTTGTGTATGGCCTTTGATTTGCATACAATCAAATACAATAAATCACATTGACATACAGTCGAAAGCATGAGTATATACGCGAATATAGATATAAAGGTTATAGTCAATATTTTTATTTACTTTCAGGCTCTAATAGCTCTGATAAATCGTTGCCGCCAAGTAGTAATTGCTTTTTTGAATTGTTTCTTGTAGAAAGTTGATGGTAAAACAAATATTACAAAGACGAAAGACGATGGAATAAAGGAAATAAAATAGCCGAATAGATACAGCCAGGAAATTCGAGATGCTTTAACACATTCTGATGATATTGAAATAAGAAAACGAGGTGATAATAAAATCGCTAGTACAATAGGACCGATAACAAGTTGTTTGTGTTCATTGAAGTTATTAAATAATTGTTGTTGGTAGCTAATATGAGTTCGAACGATCGCTTGTTGACGAGCTAATTTCAGTATGATGAAAAGAGTCGCTAGTAGATTAGCAGAAAATGGTGCGACAAAATGAAAATATTGTACGACTGTAGTATATATTTGAACTGATTGAGAATAACGAATTACACACCAAACACGGTGTTCTTCATAATCATCGAATAAATCGCGTTCAATAAGTTCATAACTCATCGAACCCAAAATAATGAATGGTAAAATGCAAAGTGTCCGTCGTGCAATGCGTCTGCTTTGTTTCATGTTAAAACTAATTCCTTTGAAAACTGCTATCGCTCTTTCTATGCCTACACAAGTATTCAACCAATTACTCATATGTAAGAAAAATCTAAGCATAGGTTCCAATAGTATACATCCAATTCGATGAATATTACGATCGATCGATGGATTTATATGAGTATATATTACAAACCAAAATTTGATGATTAACATAGTAACGACCAGAATAGAAATGATTGATGATAATCGAAGATATATTCCAGAACCTACTTTACGAGAATCTCGATCATGAAAGACAAGATAACTAAGAAGACCATTTAAAGTACCAATTATAAAAATAATCATTATAACAGTTGCACTTAATTTAACTACCAAAGATTGATCATTTAATGTACTATTAGGTCGAATTTCATAACGTAATAAGTCATCTAATGTCAGTCCAATGCCTTTGGCATAAAACTGACATCGATTACCAAAGAAACAATCAACACATACACATAGAATATTAAGAGAACATATACTTTGATCTTGTAAACATGTTCCTCTTCCACCATTCTCGCAATTAATATTATCGTCACAGGCAAAAGTTCGTTGGTGTTCTAATAGAAAACAGTTACTATGATGTTCTTCCGTACACAAACACATATAAAATTCATCAACAAAACATTGCAGATTAAAATCATGTTGACATGGAACATGATAACTTTTCAATCGCTGAATTCGTGGCAATGAAACTAATTTAGTATTTAAAACTTCATGAATAAAAGCACATCGTTGTACTGGATTAATCGACGTTGTTATGTTAGATTGTTCGAGTTTTTGAAGTACAGCCAAATAATAACGAGTATCAATTTTGACAATAACCATTTTGAACATAAGTCGTGAATACACGGTGACACTACTTTGAAACATAGTCATTTTTTGGAATGTAACAAATGTTGGTAGCGATCGTTCAAAACTAATTTCAGTGTAAATATGGACGAGTAAATACAATGGAGTTTCGATATTTTTAAGAGAAATATCTATTCTATGACTGACATATTGACATCTTGTCCCATAAAATTGTTCTGAGCAAAAACATACATATCTTTCATCAATCATTCTCTCATCGATTACTATGCAACGACCATTATTTTTGCAGAATCCTACTGGACATACTAGTTGGAGACGACAAAAGGAACCGAATTTTTCGTAAGGACAAACACAGATTGATCGATTTCGAATCGAACCGATACAAATCGAATTTGATGCACACATACTACAATCGATTGGAATGCGACATTGTGCACCGGACCAACCTGAATAACATTGACAGAAGAATCGTTCTTCATTATGATATTTCATACAAGTACCTTTATAACATTGAAGAGTACAGTGTTTCGGATCGAATGTTCGAGAAATCGGAACCGTTAAAAAAGCAGTTATTCGATTGACTGGTAAAAAGACGAATGGAATCGTTAAATGCCAACTTATCAGATATGCCAATGAATCTTTATTGAATGCATCGACGCGAATACTGTACTTTTTTGAATTATTCTTTCCTCGATTTAAATTTAGTAGATAGATGTTTATAGGATGACCGCAGTCTTTTGTCGGCACATAAGTGAATTGATGATACGAATGAATTTCTTGTCGATCATTATCATCTTCCATCAACGTAACAGCAATAGTATAGATAATAGGGTGATTGACAGTTGCAAATAATAAAGTTAGACTAACACGTTGATTTTGGTATTGACATCGATCACCATAATAATTCGGTGGACAAAAACATAAACTACTATAATTATTGACTCCAAGTCGATAGTAAACGTATAAACCAGAATGACAGAATTCAGACTGTGAAAAACTCTTGATTAATGGCGATCCCATCATTTTATCATTAGTTGGATTCTCAGTAGGATTACTCGGAATCGTATATATTGGCGGGTAGATTAATGCAGTTTCTAATGAAAAAAATATATAACGTGTATTAATGACCTGACATGAAATATATTGCATATCGATAAGATTGTCAAAATCAGAGTCATTACATAATTGTGGATGATTATTACAAAATAGTTCGTTATCATTCATTGGGCAATCTTCGTTTTCATTGCAAAGATTTTCCTGTTCTTTACATTTTGTGTCATTCCAACAACGAAATCTAAATGTTTGAAAAGTAGTATTGTTCACCTGGCGTTTTTGAAATTCATCAGATGATGCTCCAAAACAATTGACGATTCCGTTAGCGACTTGATCGGCTGGTAAACACATGAATGTATAATTTTGTGGCGAAATACAGAAAAGAAAATGCTCTATATCAATCGGTTGCGTGCATCTTTCTTCATCCTCACCATCTACACAGTTTCGAAAACCATCACATCGTGTGTAGATATTATTGCATTGCCAATCTTCACAATCAGTTTCATCGGAATGATTTCGGCCATCAATCAATACCATGGGTAAATCCTTGATTTGATCACATATTTTATAAAATGGGATATCATCATAATTTATCTGTATAGGAAAAGAACAGATACTTTTTGAGAATAAAGGTGATCGACACTGTTTCTCATTTGGACATTGAAATCGAGAAGTTTGATTTAATAAACAACTCAATTCAAATGCGTGTTCATCATCTTTTAGAAAACAATCAGGTATACCATCAACGATTCGATATTTAGAAATATATTTTGAGGAATTCTTACAGTGATATAATGATGAATGATGAGAATCGATGATATGATAATGTTGAGTAATACAACCATCAAAGTACGGCTTAATTGAATCGATAATTGATTTCCAACTAGTCAATTCAGCATTCATTATAAGGCCCGTTTGATTACCAGAACGACAAGTCAAAGTTTCATTACGAAATGTAGGTGTGAGAAAATCGCATAATTGTTCATCATAGCAAATATAATCAGGTTTAAGAGATAATGTAACATCAATATTGTCAATCTCTTTTGGATGATATAAAAATGTTACATGGCCATAAAGTACAGGATTAACCGGAAATTGAAGTGGAAACTTGCAACTTTTTAATTGGTCAATGATCTTAGAAGATTGAATGAACTGATCACACGATGTATTCTCGATTTTGTCCATAATTTTCGTAAGACAAACCATGCTTATCCAACATTCATATGATAAATTTCCTTGAACACTAACCGATTGAGCCAAAGCAAGATGGCGATTATTTTGACAATGACCAAAATCTTCTACACATTGTCCATTACCACACGAAAATTTACCTTCATCAGGTCGACATACGTATTCTTGATATTCAAATAGATGTGGTCGATGATAAAATATCAGAAGACGATTGTTCTTAACAATTCCATCCGATCCATCAGAGCATTGTGCTTCCGCAAATCTCATTTCCAAAAAAATTTTTGGAATACACAACCCATTATGGCATCGATATTCATTTTCATTGCATTCATTAGTTTCTAACTTGAAACA